CTTCTCCTTCCCAACCCTGGATCAATCCAACTACCTCCTCCCTCTGCTCTTAAATTTGAATGGCTGAAGTTAAATCAAACAATATTCCCATGGTCTCCCCTGCAAATTCGCACATTCCAACCTTAGCTAAGCCCTCAGCACTAATGGAAATGCTATGGTTTCTAAGTTAGCTCTTTCTCTGCTGTTTTCCATAGCGACCATTTCAAATGTCCACTTTTCCTCTATCTCTCCCTCATATCCACACCTCAACACCTCATTCTCTGCAGGTGACCTCACTTCTTATTTCATGAAGGAAACAAAGTATCAGGATGGAGCTTCCAGCATAACTCCTGTCCTCATCTCCAACCTCTGCTTATTCATGACAGGACCTGACCACCCTTGTCTATCTCCTGACATGTGTTCTCTGAATTCCATGCATCACCTCTTTTTAGGAACCTTAACACATCAATTACCCTTCCCCTCTCCTGTCTTTTAAACTCTCCCTCTCCATAGGTTCTTTCCTATTATAATTTAAACATGCTCAAGTCTCTCCCATATTTTAATTCAAAAAACATAAAACAAACAACCCTTTCCAACTCCACATTACCCATCTTCTCAGAGCTCTCATTCTCTTCACTGCCAAGCTTCTTGAGAGAGTCATCAACATTTGCTGTAAATAAAGTACAGAGTGGGGCAAAAGTAGGTGTACAGTTGTATGTGAATCAGTTTATTCTGGTATTATTATTTATTAATTATTGTATTGTCTTCCATATGAATGACTGTAAACCTACTTCTACCCCACCCTCTATAGCATCTACCAACATTGCTCTCATCAAAGGTACCAATGGCCTTTTTGTTGCAGAATACAAAGGATATTTTCAATATTTGTCTTACTAGGCAACCTTTCCATATGTGACCAAGGATCATACCCACCTATGTAAACCACTTTCTTCCTTTGGCTTCTGTGATCCCATTCCATTGGTTTTCTTCCACTTTTTCTGGTTATTACTTCTCAGTCAGTTCCTTCCTTGGGTTTTCTCTTCCTTGGTCTATCACTTCTAGAGTTCAGTCCTTGGCCCTCTTATTTCCTTAACTACATAAAGTCCCTGGTTGTCTTATTAATTCATATGGCTTCTTTTACCCACATTTTTTAACAACCTCAAACCTTTATCTCTATTCTACACTGCTCTGTCAGGCTTCCAACTCATATATCAACTACTACTCCCTCCCCAACCTCCCCAGACCAAAACCTGTTCTTACCCATTTTTCCTTAGTCAATGAAAACAAGTCAGAATCTTCGATGTTATCTTCCTCATTTCCCATATCCACCTCATTGCACACATTAAGTTAAACACCAAGCAATATCATTCTACATCATTAATATCTAAAAACTGTCTTCTCTGCTCCTTGGGTGCACTTTGGTTCCAGCCACCAAATGTGTCTCAGTTTAATTACTGAAACAATTTCCTGAAATGGTCTCCCTACTTCTAACTTAAAAACCAGAGTTTCTAAACCTTAGCACTACTGACATTTTGCACTAAATATTTCTTGTTATGGGAGGCTATCTTGTGCATTGTAAAATGTTTAGCATCTCTGGCCTTTATGAAATAGATGTCAGTAGGAACTCCCCATCCCACTGCATGACAATAAAAATGTGTCCAGTCAATGCCAAATAAAACCTGGTGGGCAAAATCACTCCTAACTAAAAACAACTTTATAAATATATATATTTTTTATGTATTATTTTTCAACAGAGGGGGAAGGGAGGGAGAAAGAGAGGGAAACATCAGTGTGTGGTTGTACTCGTGTAGGTTTTTCTGGGGACCTGGCCTGCAACTCAGGCATGTGCCCTGACTGGGAATCGAACTGGCAACCCTTTAGTTTTCAGGCTGGCACTCAATCCACTGAGCCACACCAGCCAGGGCAGAACAACTGTTTTAAACCCTTTCTCCACAGCACAACGTGATGCATTATTTTTCTAAAATGCAAATCAGAGCCATTAATCTCCTGCTTAAAGTCCTACAATAGCTTTCCACTGTCTCAGGAAAAAATCCAAATCCCTAGTTTGGCTTGTAACCCTGCATGGCATGGCCCCTGCTAATGCTCTACCCCAACTGTGGATCAGTCCAACTCAAGTTGAGGCTATGGAAGAAAATCATACCTCAGTGGTTCTACTACAAACTCCCGCATGCTCTACCTCTTGAGTACCTTTCTAGGCTCTTCTCCAACCATTCATCCTACTTTCTGTTGCCTGAAATTGTTTCAATGTTCAATGGTCCCTCTTGTAATCAACTTTGGCTCATGCTGCTCCCGAAGCCTGGGATGCCCTTCACTTCTCCTAATTATGCCTAGCTTAAATGAACCCTATTTTAGGAAGTGCTTCTTGATATTCCTCACCATATAATACATATCCTACTTTTGTCGGCAAAAGTAAGTATGCACCCTCACTTTGTGCTCCATGATGCCCTGTGGTTCTGTAAGAGCAGGACCAATAAAATGGCATTGGTCCAATCAAGATAGCATAAAGTATATAAAACAATGTGGAGTCACCTGTCAACCAAGATGGCTGTCAGTCAGCCATGACACTTTGGTTCAAGAGGGAAACTACCTAAATGATGCTAGACACATCTGACAAGAAGACACACCTAAGATATTTGCACTTGTGATCAGAGTGCCATGTCTGCAGAGAGAGACCACCCACAGATAGGCTCCTATGGAAGTTCCACACTTGCCGTCAGGGGTGCCAAGACACTGAGCAAGAGACCAAGAAGGCTGGAGTATACCACTTTCAAGGTATAACTGAGGCAGGCTCCAGACCACTGCTGAGACAGCGGAGCTCCACACACCAGAGTGCTGTTTCATGCCATGCTGATCTTCCTTGACATTGGCCACTGGACACTCTACCCTGCTGGACTGAGGACATCGGATATCCTTCCCTGCAAGACTCTGACAACTCCTTTGCCTACTGTGCTGTCTCCTGGACCTGCAGACTGAGATTCTGGGACTCACGTTCATTATTCCCCAATGATTGTGGTGTGTTTGCGTTGTATTTCTCTTAGATTGTTAGGGTGTGAGTAGGATGTTAATGTATGTTGATGTTTTATTTTGAGTGAATCTGCATCCAATGAAAGTTGAGTGAATAGCATAGTTAGTGTGTGTAACTCATGTCTATTCCTTGATGTCGGGCTACTCAGTAGGCAGCAAATGGAGCATATGCCAGGCTGACTTATAGGAAAGACTATATGACGAGCATACGCTCGTGACAGCTCCCCTCTACATTCTGTGGTTCAGTGGCCTGGCTCCTTGTCCAAGCTATGGTCCTGTACACTGTTATATCCAAAGAGCCTAGAATAAAGCCTGTCACAAACTAGGAGCTGAAATATGTTTTTAGAAGAAAGGAGGAAGTAAGAAAGGTCTCGGCAACATGCAAACTTATGTCTGATGGACTCACATGGATCTCACTGTCCGTATAGTGAGTCACAGATTACATGACAATGAAATTGACTTGGTTATCTCAGTTCTTTAGGGAGATGACAAAATGACAGGCTGTCCGACTTAGTATTTTCTACTGTCACAGCAGGTGGCAGGTTCATTTATCATCACAGAGTTCTAGATGCTGATATTACAAAAAATCATGAAGGACATCAACAGCAAAACTGTTTTTCGTAAAATCTTCGTATAAAATGTTTGGGAGTCACTGTGTATTTTATCACTATGATCTAACTGAGGACTCAAATTATGAGGGAGACTAACATAAACTCCACTTCAGAAGGCTGATTAAAAATAATGAGATAAGATTCCACCAGATCATCTGAGAAAAAATTTTATTCACTGAGAGAGTAAAATAAAAGGGAGTCTTCCATTTTCCTCTACAAAAGAATTACCTAAATAAGAACTGAATAAAACCTTCTAAACTCAGTAATGTTGGAAATAAAAGTTGGATTGGTCCAAAGACTCAAGACTATAAAGAAAGTAAGTTGAAAACCCCTTATTTTATAATATAAACTCTTATGAGAATTTAAGTTTTCTCAAGCCGTATTAACTAACTCACCAGAAGCATGAAAGAATTCCATGTATCATTAACAAACAGAAGTCAGCCTGATTTTCAGGACTAACAGGAGTTAAGGTATGGGATCTGACTTAAAATATTTCAGCAACAACAATTATAGCAAAAAAGGAGATAGATTATTTGTGGTATATCTTCATAAATGTTAAATCAGTATAACGGCTACCTAGGGGTTTGTTATATTAAACTCTATTATTTAAAATTTTCCTGAATAAGTATTAAAGGTTTGCTTATATTATAAATATTAGAAATCAAATTTCATATGCAAATTTAATAAAAAACATTTCAAAAAACATGTATTTTAGGCAAGAGTACAGATTAATTTGGATAATACCTTTAAGTTTTTATAATGGGCTTTATTTTTAGGTTAAGTGAACATTGAGCAATTTAATGGGTCATTTCCAACCTAAGTTGAATAATAAATTGAAATTTTAAATCCACAGCATAAACTTTGGGCTAAATAGGAAATTTGCAAGTATGTTTTTTTTTTTTTTACAATGGCCATCAAAACTAAAAAAGCAAATGACTGCAGGGAAGATAGTGTAATTGTTAAAAAAGAAATTCAACAATGTTTCAGAGAGTTGTAATTCAACATAAAAGTCTGAGCCAACAAATCTATCAACAAAACCAAACAGCTCCCCAGGTTCCTCTGCAATGCTGATAATGCCAAGATGCACAGCTCCAAACCTTGAAAGAAGTGAGAGTTTCTAGGGGTGTGGGGAGAAGACCGACCTCCAGAAATAAGCAATGCCTTGCATTTACTTACAGAGCAGCTCTCTATTACTTCCTGAGAATGTCAAAGAAGAGAGCTGAGAGATCAGGTCAAAACATTGCAAGAGAAAAACACAGCAGCAGTGAAAATTAATACAATTAAACATTTGTGCTTCACTTCAGTGTCTAAGACTACAAAAGTCTTAGAGGTCAAGGAGAGGGTTCATATTAGAAACTGTCTCACCTGCAAAAGAACTCCCACAAGTCTAGGTTTTGAATTCTCTGAATTCTTTTAATTCTGTTGCGATCCATTGTTTTCCCAAAGAGACTAGCAACTTCATTATATTCGTGTGTTTGACTGTGCAAAGGAATAAGCTGGAAAATGAAGTTTGATAGTTTTATTGGCATCCTTTTCCACCTCTAAAGTAGCACAGTCTGTCAGTTCTGGTCTTACCTGATAGGGTACATCAGTATTCACATTCTCCCAGTGTGGTGGCATGGGGATAGCCTCATTTTCACAGATATAACTTTAAATTGCAAAAGACAAAGCAAAACTTTAGAATCTGTAAGTGATTTGGACTTTTCTTCAAAGCTGAATTTTCCTGCTTGGGATAGTGCAACAAATGCAATTAAGTGTAACCCTTGGTTTCTTTATTTCAAAACATTTATTGACTGTCTACTTGTGTACTACCTTTTAGGTGCTGAATTGAGAACTTGGATGGAAAATACCCAATCCTTTGAAATACCCAATTTCAAAAGCAGCTGTTTAACTGTTTTGTTTTTTCTGAATTTTCCAGAATTTCTTTAAAATATAAGGAAGATTTTAGGTTAAAGAATTTTTCAAGAAGAAAAAAAAGTCCTTGATTTTAAAAAACAAACATTTAAACAGATTTACTCTGCCTATTAAATAAAATCAAAACCCCTAAGCCATACATTCAGTGTCCTTCAAGACAGAACCTAAACCTTTCTGTTTATTGCCCACTATTCCCCTACAAAGTTCACATTAACTTAACTAGTACAGTCAATCAGTAAAACTTAAAAAAAAAAACTATCTCCCATGTTTAAGCCACTGGATGTGAACACAGAAAAGCAAAATGGTCCTGGGGAGCTCAATGGCAAAAGGCTGACACTGACATATTCTTCTCTCTGGTGACTAGAGGTCACTAGAGGTGACTAGAGGAAGAAATTATAAATTTCAAGCTTATCTTTACATTTTTCAGAATTTATTTCAACTTTGAAAAGATCATGCAATCATATGATTTAAAAATTAGTAAGCATTTAAAAAAGTACACAGTGAATGGTTTCCCTGCCACTTCAATCCTTGGTCTCCAACTCTCACCTCTTGCCTCAGCTCCAGTAATCATTGTTTTGGGTTTCTTGAGTATTCTTCCTGAACTTCTTTTGGTTAACACAAGCCAATTTTTTCTCCCACACAAAATGGGAGCATAAAACATACATCTTTCGCAGCTTTTATTTTTCACTTACTACAGTCTTAAAGATCTTTCCGTATTAGTAGATAGAATGTACCCTTATTCCCACTCCCTGCCATAGAGCTTGGCACATAGCAGACACTCCATAAATACTGACTGAATGAATGAGGGCATTCTATTCCACAGATGCATCATGATATGCAGATACTGTCAGTTTTCAACAAAGTCCCTTATTGAACATATTCAGGTTTTTCAACTTTTTGTTACTGTTAAGAATGCTGCAAGGAACTGGTTTGTCCATTTGTCACTGTATGTGTCCACTAGTCAATTTGTAGAATAATATCTTTAAAATGGAATTTCTTGGTCATAGAATATATTTGTTCATTATTTTGACAGATACTTACCAAATGCCTTCCTTGAAGGTTGCATTCATTGAATTCCCACCATAAACACACAGAATGCCTATTTCCAACCTCATCAAAAAGGTGTGTAATCCTTTTGAATTTTTGTCAATCTGATAGTAAAAAACAGTCTGATATAATTTGTATTTCTCTTGAGTGAGGCTGTATGAACTGTTCAAATTCTTTGCTCATTTTTCTAAGGGGCTCTTGGCTTCTACTTAGAGATGCATAGAAGTACTTCATATGCTATAGAGATGAGCCCTTTGACTGTGATAATGAGTAACAATAGCACACTCAGATTTTTAAAAAATTTTGCCTTAAGTATCTGTTAGCTATGGAAAACGTTTTTTGTTTTTTAAATTTTTGTAGCCCATGACTATGTAGTTACATAGTCATGTAGCCCATTAATTCAATGTCAATGGGAAATATGTACTATTCCCCTTACAGGTACTTAATTCCTACAATAAATAATACACTTAATAAATATATGTACATATGAATAAATAAGTGAATATATGTGTATATTCATATTATATATGACCTACAATAAATAAATAAACATTTTATATCAGCAAATACTTATCTTCATCGCTCTTCTGTATTCCACTTACCTACTCTTCCTCTTTTACTATCTAATTTATTAGCCTCCATTCTGGTTCATTATTTCCCTCTCCCATCTTTGTTCTATGGTTAGTACAGTCTGTGAGAGAACAAACACTATACTTCTTCTCCCCACCAAACTACACCAGATATAATAACATGCCTTTACAATAATATTTTCCATTATTATGTCTCATTTTTCTCCCATATTATACACTCTTTGAAGATAAGTAATTCCTTTACCATATATATTCCTTGTACTTGAAAAGGAGGATATGATATAGTTGGTAAGGAAATAATATTCTCTATGTTCCATAGAAGTAATAGAGCATTCATTACATAAGTACTTAAATAACTTTTATATCAGGATGCTAAAATATAAGCCAAAAGTCTCATGAAACAAACTGATAGAAACTTGCAGTTTTTCATTCCTTAATCTAATTCTTTCAAAATATCTCTTTGGAAGGAGCAAGGAGTATCTCTTAAAATTCACGTTAGCATTTTTTTTCTTTTTCATTTTCAATTCTTTGAACAGCAAGAATTTCAAAACTTGCTGGAGGAATCATTCCAGAAAATAGAAGACACAGTGTAAGATTTTTCCCTTCAATTCCATTCAAAGTAATACAAAATATTTATTCTCTTCCGGCATTTATACCACTTTTCAGGCCTAATCAATCCAGAAATAGAAAAAAAGAAAACTTGTAGCAGGGAACAAGTAGCAGTACTGTTGCCCCACTGCACTCCCATCCCCTGTGGGTCTCCTTTAGTCATGACAGACTTGAACTACTTCTAGGAGTTGCCCAGTGGGGATCAGAAGAGGTGGAGAAGACTGGTAATTACTTAGGATTCATGGCTCAAATAACTGGATGGTTCTGTGAGAGTATTTCCAAGTTAATTCAAAATTACCTCAGTAGGTTATTTTAAGTATTCAAAGCAGAGACTATAAGGTTTTTTTTAACTACCATGCAAACTGTTCTAAAGAACTGAAAAATATAAGTATATAAAGGGAAATTAAAAGGATAATAGGAAAGCCAACATGGGCAGAAAATTATATTGCTATTTTATCAAGTATGGTAAAATTCAGTAATGAAGGGATCAATATTAAGATCATTAAACAACCTACCAAAATATTTAGTCTAACTGTTCCTCTGTCAAATAGTAAGAAAGAAAAAGAAAAAGCCCATTCTTTTTTCTACCCCTGCACTCTTTACAGTACCTGAAAGCACTGATAGAAAAGGGGGCTCTTTTTATTAAGCGCTGTTTTCCAGTGGTGAGGTTCATTTGCTTCATTTCTGCATACAAAGACAGAGATGTTGGGTGAGTCATAGAAACATACTGTGCTACAAATTGTCACAAAGATTTATAGCTGCCCTACATGATAATCAGGAACCACAGAGCCTTGTGGGTAGCTGACAAACACAGTATATTAAAGACACTTTACTACCTACGTATCTAGCATGTCATAAAAGTACAATTCAGGAAGGACAGCTTCATTGCTTGATCTATGCTCACACAAAAGAATGCTCATCTCAAGTGTTGCTCAGTATGCAGGGTCTATTCTTTTCTGACATTAAATAGAAGAGTTCTATACTTAGGAAAATTAAGAGTACTAGAAGGAGAAAAGGATGATAGTACTGAATATTCTAGTTGGCTTAAAAGGAAAATATAGGTTGATTTCTCCAAAAATTTTGGAAATGATTAAAAAATACATTACCATTATAAAACTGGCACTACTCACAGAATTTCAAAAAATTTGTACATTTCTTGCCTTCTTTTTAAATTGTATACCTAAACCAAAACATAGAAAACCTAGCTAGACTCAATACATACTTACATAAGAGATTCTAGTGCTAAAGGACTAATTACCTAAAGGTATCATTTTCTTCTTTCGTCTATGCCTCAGCAGTGGCAGGGTTTACCAGGACTATTTCTTCATTCCCACAAAGTTGAATACTAAGTCTTAATGTGAGTCACTAGTCCGTTTATTATATTAATTGGCATTATTCCATTCCAAAATAAAGGGATTCAACTACCTAGGCAAATGCTGTATAAAGTATGCTCTGCCCTTTCTGTATTCTCCTAGACTATGTACACACTGGCATTAACCACTGTGCAGGGAAAAGCAAGATCTCAGCACATGTAGCAAAACCTGTGGTGTCTTCCAAGCTGCCTCATCTTGAGTTTGCTTTTCACCATTTTTATAGCGAGAACCTGAATTGGCTTGTGGCAGAATGGTTGGGGCTAATTCTGCAAATAGGACATATGAAATGCTAATACTTAGGTTTTCGAAATGATCATTATATAGAGGATTGGGGAACTTGAGTTATTATAGGTGACTCTTACTTGATTAAAAAAAGTTTTAATAAACAGCACTGAGAGAAAGCTTCCCAAAAATACAGTTTACTAGAAAATACTCATACAGAAAAATATAACTTGCAGAATTATCTACCACATGCTTTGATAAACTTCATCCTCTGTAGGAGTGATGTCTGTGCATGTCAGTATATCTCAGTATTACTTCAAAGCTGGCCCTTGGACACAGGACTAAAATGCCTGTCAGACACCTTCTGTCTAGACTGTAGGACAAAGACAAATGTCAGGGTCCCCTTGAAAGCAGGCAGCTTGTTTGTCTAATACCATTAAACAAATGTTATGGTTAGTCAGGAATGAGAATCTAATGGTTTTAACTCTTAATTTAAAAAAAAAAAGCTTTGGGAGGATAGTAATCATTAGAGATTCTGCTGCATCAACCTCTTACTGGACAAACCCCCTTCACTATTTCTGGGCCTTAGCTCATTTCCTAAGGTTTCCATAACCTGTCCTATAACAACACACTACAAACTGTCATAAAGACACTACTCACAGAAACTGGGAAGAACAGTGAAGAGGACTGAGCTGTGTAGCAACCAAAATACACTTTTCTTAAGAAACCTCCCCCAACCAGACTGTGTTTGCCTCAAAGTAGCAAACAGCTGGGATTACAGCAGCTTCAAATGAGGGGGTTGAATACAATAGTTTTTCACAGGATACCCCAAATCATAGCCATATATCATGAATACAATCCAAAGTGCAGTTGATTTCCAGATTAGCTAACTAATCTGTGAAAAAGCCAGTAAAATCAGAAAAATGGCAGAAGGCCATGGCCATTAAAGAAAGTTTCTGGCAAAAGTACAGAGATGGGTCATTCTTCTGAACTCTGGTCTTAAAAAATATCACCAACTTTGTTACTTAACTGCTCAGATTGATCCTCAAAATAAAAAGGTTCCAATCTATTTCAAAAGACTGATGTGATGAGGAATAAAACAATACCTTAAAGTATTTATGTTGACTATAAGAGAAACATTACATGAATATACTACCATGTCCAAATATATTACTATCTAGAAGCATATGAATACAATGCTGTTCAATAAGAATTAAATCTTGCATTTTTATAGAAGTATTTTACATATTTCAGAAAGGATTTACTGCACTGCTTACAAATGTCATCAACTAATCCTGATCTTCAGAACTGTAGATTTTACCATACAGTATACTAAAAACATACAACTATTAGGAAAAAACATACCTGCAAAGTCTATCTTGTAGCTGAATTTGGAAGTAGTAAAAGAAATGGACCCACAAGGATTTGTTTTGAAGCTTTTTTCGATATCTTCACTGCTAACTGAACACTGAATGTTGGTATCCGGCTTTAAGACAAACCAGAAAGTTTCATTTACCAGCTGTTCACATTAATGGCTTGGCCACAGAGGGAGTACTGTGGTCACAGAGACAGAGGACAGGGAGGCAAGGAAAACCTTACTAATCACCTGTTCTAGTTCCCTGTACACTGGGAGAATCACAGCTAAGCCAGCATGTTAAAAATAGTTCAATGATTTCCACCAGAGACACTTCAACAACTGGTTATAATGCCATTTCTGAAATTACAAATTGTCAAAAATCATGACAATAATTACATGTCCTAAGTGGCTCAAAAATTAAATCTTCTTTAAGTGGCTTTGTAAGAAAAAAAGACCACAAACTTTAATCATTAACTTAATTATTAACTAGCTGTGTGACTCTGGACAAATTACAGTAACTTTTCTGAGCTTTAGTTTCTTTGACCATAAGACCAAGTGTCAACATCTGCTTCAAAGTTGTTATGAGAATAAAGGAAAAAACATTTGTACAGCACCTAACATAATACCTGGTGTACAGAAGGTTTTTAATATAGGTTGTTCTCTTTCCTTTCTTTGTCCTCCAAATCAAACTTGGAGTTGCTCAGATGTACTGATACCATGCAACTCTCAGTCACAATCGCCTTCTGTACACACAGTAAACATACACTGTTTCTTCTAAATAAAGTATTGTGAAAACCTGGGGGAAAGAAAAGGAAAAGGACTAGAAGAACATCTAATTTTTCCTTTCAGTTAAGTTATCTAATTTCCTTAGGGTTAGATTTCTTTCAGGTTCACTCGCATTCATTTTATTGATCAGTAAGATGACAATCAGTGGATCTAAGCCCCTTCTGCTATGTTTAAGGACAGGAAATACCTGAAACATGTGCCACTTTCCACACTCTGCCAAGTAAAACCAGCCCCACTGGGTGTCTGATGTGTCCATCTCATCCACCTCACTGTCTGCGCTTTTAGAGAGGAATTCTTCTGCTTTGTGAAACATCTCCTGAAAAGGTAGAAAGAGGTCAAGAAAAATATTTTTTCCAATAATCAGTGTACTTTTTACACATTATTTTCTTCTTACAAAGAATTATATTCCAAGGGTTCGTCTCCCCGTGACACTTCAAAAGCAGCATTCTATGTTGTATATTAGTTCTAAAGATAAATATATAAAAATGTTGAATAACACTGCTTACCAAATAAAACAAATAATGATACACTTAGGCAAGATATATCAATGCCCATTCAACCATTTAAGTAAGTTTTATCCAAATCTATAAGCACTCTCCAGATTCTCGGTATAGTACCAAAAAACTTCTGTCTCATCATATGTTTATCCATGTTTTTGGTTAAAAGGGTCCATGCTATCAGAACTATATCTGATTTAGACCAAATATATCTGATTTTTGTTTTAAACATTTCATTTAATGGCATGGAAAGATGTTTATAATACATAGTGTTCAGGCCCTGGCTGGTGTAGCTCAGTGGACTGAGCACTGGCCAACGAACCAAAGGGTCACAGGTTCGACTCCCAGGCAGGGCACATGCCCACAATGTGGACTAGGTCCCCAGTATGGAGTGTGCAAGAGGCAACCACACATTAATATTTCTCTCCCTCTCTTTCTCTCCTTCCTTCCCTTCTTTCTGAAAATAAATAAATGAAATATATATATACATGTATATATATAGTGTTTAGTACAAAGAAGGTTTCAATAGAAATAATATAATCCAATTTTAATTAAAAATACTTCTATATTTACCCACATGAATGTATATGCATGTGTATGTATATGTGCATGTATGTGTTTATATGTGTACACACAGAAAAAGTCTGGCTGGATATACAAAAATTTATTGTAGTTTTTCCTGAATATTAGGATAATGATTATTAACCATTATCTTACTGTGTGCCAAGTACTGTTCTCAGTTCTGTAAAGATAGTAACTCATTTAGGCCTTACAACAACCCTGTAAGATAGGTACTATTATCCCAATTGTATAAATGAGGAAACCAAGGTACAGAGAGGACAAACAATGAAGAAGCCAGGATTCAAACTCAAGCAGTCTGGATCCAGGGTCTGTGCACTTAACCACCTTGGTATACTGCCTTATACTTCATTATCAATGATTTCATAATCATTGATAGGTGTGTCCAACCTTTTTCCCTAACTACAAGAAAAAAATCCAACCATGTTAATAATATAAGAACAGATTGTGCAATACTTATGTAACTGAGTATTCAAGGAGAGTGGACTGGAATGCACATGCATGAACAATGACAACTTCATTGTACTAGTGAGTGGGGGCCATAGACGATGTTGAGTGAGCATGTGTACTGTGTGGCCATCTCATTCAAAAACTGAATAAGTATTTTTGATCCACTCATTTACTGATGGGCACTTAGGTTGTTTCTAACACTTGGCTATTGTAAATTGTGCTGCTATGAACAATGGAGTGCACATGGTACATTTACACAAAGGAACACTACTCAGCAGAAAGAAAGAAGGAGCTCCTACTTTTCACGACAGCATAGATGGATCTAGAGAGCATTATGCTGAGTGAAATAAGCCAGGTAGTAAAAGACAAATACCATATGATCTCACCTATAAGTGGAACCTAATCAACAAAACAAATAAGCAAGCAAAATATAACCAGAGACACTGAAATAAAGAACAAGCTGACAGTAACCAGAGGGGAGGTAGGAGGGGACAATGGAAAAGGGGGGATCCTTGTTGTCAAGGAACAGATAAAGGACATATGGAAAAAGCCAAAGGGGATTAGGATTGAGGGTGGGAGGTGGGAAATGGCTGGGGTGGGAGGGAGTGATGGGGGAAAAATAGAGACAACTGTACATGAACAACAATAAAAAAGAGAGAGAAAGAAACCCCAAACAATTTATTAACTGAATAAATAAAATTATAAAGTCACTTTACTCGAAGTAAAACTTAAAAAAAAAAACTGGCCCTAGTTGGTGTGGCTCAGTGGATTAAGTGCCAGCCTGTGAACCAAAGGGTTGCCAGTTCGATTCCTAGTCAGGGTACATGCCTGGGTTGCAGGCCAAGTCCCCAGCAGGGGGAGTGTGAGAGGCAAGCACACACTGATGTTTCTTTCCTTCTCTTCTCTCTCTTCCCCTCTGTCTAAAAATAAATAAATAAAATATTTTTTTAAAATAAAATAAATAAATAAACTGAATGAGTAGAGCAACAAATCTACATCAAATTTTGTATTAAGCTTGAACATTCCTCCACAGAAACTACTTGGATGATTAAGAAGCTGCAGCTATGACTCAATGGTGATTGGCAGCTTCCCCATGACAGTGCACCCACTCATGCATCACATCTCCTACAGAGTTTTTGGCAAAATATCAAGTCACCCAGGTGACTCAGTCCCACTATAGCCCAGATTTGGTGCCCTACAACTTCTGGCTTTTCCCAAAACTAAAATCACCTTTGAAAGGGAAGAGATTTCAGGCCCTCAATGAGATTCAGGAAAATACAATAGGGTAGCTGATGGCTATTGGGAGAATTGTGTGAAGTCCCAAGTTGCCTATTTTGAAGGGGACTGACATGTCACTGTCCTATGTACAATGTTTCTTGTATTTTGTATCTCCTTCAATAAAGGAGATATTTTTGTCTCTATTTTTTCATAGTGCATGGCTGAATACTTTCTGGACAGGCCTTTGATCAAGTACCATATACAAACTATCTTTGAAAAGTTTTAAACATTCTTGGGTGGGGATTGTGATAAAGAGGAAGTCACCAGACAAGGGGCAGAGAAGTTAGTCAAAGAAGATAAAATCACACACATCTCTCAGGTATGATTTGGTTTTTGAACAAATTGCTCCTGAAACTACCTTCTGGAACAAATTAAGTCTAAGCACTGTATTCTTCAATTAAAGTTAGGAAAAACCCAAAGCAGAAGAAACATAATTATTTTGTCTAGAACCATAGAGTTAGCAATGCAAAGAAGATTAAAGAAACACCCAAGGCCTCCTGAGTGTCAGTTCTTCCCACTGCTTCTTCTTCATATATGGCAGTTGTTCCTTCTTTCCTCTGTTGCCAAAGCTTAATTTGGTTGCGTTTCTTCACAGATGCTATGGCTTTCTTTCCAGACTCAGTTCATAAGACTAAATCTTAACAGTTTTCTACAATAAATTTTCCCTCCAAGGGAATGACTATTCTGCAAAAAACTCATAGAGTAGTCAAGTTCAAATTAATAACCTTAAAATACCATATCCAGCCCTGGCTGGTGTAGCTCAGTGGATTGAGCACAGGCCTGCGAACCACACGATTGCAGTTCAGTTCCCACTCAGGGCACATGCCTGGGTTGCAGGCCGGTTCCCAGCAGGGGACTCATGAGAGGCAACCATACATTGATATTTCTCTCCTTCTCTCCTTCCCTTCCTCTCTAAAGATAAACAAATAAAACCTTTAAAAATACCATATCCACAGTAATAATAGATCTAGGTTAGAACACACTAATAGGCAATAAAAGGAATGTGTACAAGTTGTCTGTCATGGAGTGGGCAATTAATAAATGTCAGCTGAATGAATTAGTTCAGCCACAATGCCATACATAACTCTGCATTGATTTTCCAGTTTTTAATTGGCAGATAATGATACTACCTCCACATCAGAGAGTGAAGAAAAAGAGTTGGTACAAAGTCAAAAGCATTTTGTAAATTTTCCAGTGCAGTATGCTAGTGGAGCCTGTCTATAATGCTATCTATTCCAAAGGTTATATTTATGGGCCTTTGAATAGTAGGTCTGAATCATCAAACTGAAAGACTATGTGAAAAATGAATTTAAAGTCAAAATCCTGTTCTACAGAAGAAAATATACTACCACCTCCCAGACTGGCTAAAAGCTTTCTGATAGGTTTATTACAATACACAAAATATTATTTATTTTGTTAGTATAAACATAATACCTGAAGGAAATCATATTTGGTCTGGAAAACGTGCTTGTCTCTTATAGAAGAAGATCCAAAACTTGATACTAAAAGCTTAAAAACAGGGTAGAACATTTGCAATGACAGAGTAAGGAAATCAGTGGACCCTCTTCCCAGCAAAACTGCAGTTTAATTGATGAACATTTTTTTTAAGTCTCTGGAAATTGTCCTAAGGGCACACAGCAAATGGAGACACATTTACTCAAGAAAATCTATTAAATCTCAGAACAGGCAAGAGTGTGACATTTAAACCAAGATCTGTTCTATTGCGCCCACTTCACCAGCTCTGTGTCACAGCTCTGCCTCTGGCATGTGCAGCCAAGAAGGCAGGGGAACGCCTTTTCCTTCCAGCTTCCAGTCTGGGGCTAGTTTCACCTTGGGAGGAGCAGGCTGTTGGGGTTTCTTATTCTCTTCAACTGGGAGCTACAGAGGTCTATTCTGGGAAGGCACACGGAGCCCCATTTTCCTTTCCTCCATTCGGACCCTACTCATTTGGTGGAAACTTGACTCCAGGCCCATGAGGCAAAGAAGACTGAGCCTTGATAGCTACCACCCCAGTTTGCTCATAGGGTAGCAGTCTTATGCCAGGAGGAGTAAGTCAAGAAGACCAGAAGCTGCCACCACTCCTCCCACCTTGTGTCCACACAAAGACTGAGGCTTCACTCTGGGAAAAGTACCCCAATCCCAGCTCCAGGAACAGTGGCACAGGGACTCCAACCCAGGGGAAGGCATGCCATAAGAACAAAGAGCTTTACATCTCTACCTGAGAGAACTGACTTTATTTGGAACAGAAAGTAGAGACTTTCATGCCTAAGAATACTACAGAAAAAAAATAGAAATCTTGATAAAAATAGTTTATGGGAAGCCTGAAGCTCTGACAATAAGCAGAATGGCAGAGCAGGCAGAAATTTAATACAGATAACAAGGGACAGCCAAGAGGCCTCCTGGGATCATCATCAACCACAGGAGGAGGGCCCCCCCAAAATGGGATTTTCTTCTGGACAGGTGGACCCTCATAGTACAAACATTCTAGGTGAGTGTTCTAGGAACCAATCTG